ACAGCAAGCTGGACTGGAAGGTTTGGTAGCACAGGAACAAGCTCTGAGCACAAGCTCCAGCTGTGTAAAGAAGCCCCTGAGCAATCCAGCACATAGCAGCAGGGTGCAAGAAGCTAGCAAGATTACATGGGTCTTCCAGATACAGGCAAACTCTGATGATGGCTAACCAACTGGGCTTAGTAGTGGTGAACAACCAGAGGAAGATGGCTGTGGTGTTAGATGTAGCTATACAAAGTGCTAGCAATATCAAGAAGAAGGAGCACGAGAACCTTGAGAAATACCAAGAGCTGAGAAAGTAGCTGGAGAAGATGTGAAGGGTGAAGGCAACAGTGGTCACCGTGGTAATCCAAGCCCTCGGTCAGTGACCCCCAAACTGAGCGAGCGACTCCAGCAGATCACAGGAATGTCATCCAAGATCTCTGTAACAGGAACCGCAAACAGTGCGGCACTAGGAACAGCAAAAATACTGCGCAGGACCCTCAAGCTCCTAGGCCTCTGGTAGAGGACGTGAGCGTGAAGGATAAAGACTCGCCTGCATGGCAATTGTGTCATTTTTTTTCATTATATATAAAAAAGAAATTATAACTTATATAAATTATAAAATGTAGAGAAACTCTCTGAATTAAGTCTATTGTCTATGGAATACCAGCACTTTCCCCAAGTTCGAACTTCTTCATCTCTCGTCAATTCAGGATGTAGTTCATTAACTATTTTTTAACCAGAGATGAAGAGAGGGCAGCCACTGCAAAAAGCAGGAAGGACGGCTGTAGGGAAAGAGGGATTCGCTGAGCTTCCAAACCAATATGGAGGGAACTGTCCCCCTGAGTTTCATGAGCACAGGGGGCAATGCTTCGGCTTCTTTAATATCCCCCGGGCTTGGATAGATGCCGAGGTAAGCGTGTTACATCATAATTCTACTGAAGACCTTTAGAAATTACTCAGAAATCCATTATTTTCCGTAGTTAAAAAAGTAACTTAAGCGTGCAGTTACCATTGAAGTCTGACGCACTGTGTTTGCCTGTGATGTGTCTGCTTTTACAGAAATATTGTTGTTTGTGGTTTGATGTCAACCTCGCCTCCATCCATGAATGGGATGAGTATGTTTTCGTAATAAAGCTCATGAATGAAATGGGATACCATGGTCCGGCCTGGATTGGCGCCTCTGATGCTGTCAGGGTAATGTAAAATCCAATTAATTATTATTATAGCAGAACATTTATGCTAAAGAATGAATGTCTCCCTGCTTGTTGTAAATACGTGCCTTGACTGTTGTTATGATTTTATTTTTACAGCTGAATTCTTCTTACATTGGTTGCCGCTGCTTGTCTTTTTTGTTTTTTACAGTTTGGAGATTGGCTATGGAGTGATGGTTCAGTAACTGATTTCAACATGAACCCTGACTGGAATAAATGGGGACGTTGCCTCTCAATAGGTTCAAATGGTAACGTGACTAAATCAAGTGACTGCAGAAATGCATGAATGTATTTTGAAATATAAAGCAGAATGGTCACTCTTCTTCTTTTCTTATCAGATTACCCCACATCGAAACGTCACGATTGTGAAGAGAGTCTTCCTTTCATTTGTGCACGTAGACCAGGGCTGTGTTAAGCACTTACCTGCAATCAATCACATGAAACCAAAATCTAAAATTCCTTTCCTTTTTTGCAAAATAAAAGTGGTTTCTCTTAAATCATAGCTCAGTTCTGTTTTATTTATTTCTCTTCATGCATTGCCCCGGGGTACATCAGCATAATACGTATATGAATGTCACGGTACAAAGCAGGGTTGATACAGTCTCATATATGAATCGGGTCTGCTTTTTATTTTCATAAAATGTCGACTGTTTGATGAGGTCTTCTCTCATGGTACCCCCGGTATAGATCAGTGTCATCAGCATACAGCAGGGTCTTTACATCAGGATAAACAGAAGGGCGTGATATGATCTAAACATGGTGAAGGCTGCATCAGGAAGGGCATCCAGTATACAATCTTTCCCAAATCAAACCTCCAAAATCACAGTATTTCTCTACCAGACCAGATGGAGCCCTGATTAACAACAACTGCCTCCTGTGCTATTGGCTAATAGTGTGCCAGTGGAAACGGTGATATTGTTGACACTTAAATGTAGAGACTATGACTGGTTAGATTAGATTAGATAAAACTTTATTAATCCCTCGGGTGGGTTCCTCTGGGAAATTTGTTTTCCAAAAAAGCACAGCACCGACAGAAGTTACAGAGTTAAGAATATTATATATATATATATATATATATACACACATATATAAATACAAAGACATATATAGATAAAATATACAAAGGGGATAAATAGAATAAATAGGAATAAAAATAAAAATACAAGTGAATTGCACATTTCAAGTATGGTTAAGAGAGAGAGCAGGATGATATGACATGGAGAAGGAAGGTAGATGTGTGAAAAAAGACCAAGTGGAAGGGAAACAAGGCTGGGAGCGTTAGAAGTAGATTTAAGGTGTTGTGTCATGCTGTAGATAGGAAGCAAAATGGGGTAGAGTTAAGAGGAGGAAGAGCATGTTAGTAATGTTCTGGAGGTACAGAGAGAGTCAGACAGGAGTTTGAAACTAAAAATGGAAGGGCTGATGTTGAATCACGTCAGTGTATATGCCCCATAGATTGGATATCAATTAAGAGAAAGAAAAATTCTGGAGTAAGTTGGATGAAGTGATAGAGATTGTAAAATGTAGCTAGGCAGCATCAGATGATAGTCTGTCGGACAACTTTAGAAATCCAAAAGAAGAAGTGGGTGAAGACAGAGTCAAGGATTAAATGGTGGAAGTACAAGAAGGAAGAATGTTGAGAACTCTTCTAAACCACTCTCTGGTGGTGCTGAGGTGTTTGATACATCCTCTGGACAGAGGAAAGAAAATAAGGAGACTTGGTGATGTAATGAGGAAGTGCAGGAAAGTTTTCAAAGGAAAACAGCAAAGAAAAAGTAGGATAGTCAGGGAGATGAATAAAGTTGACAGGAGTACTGAGAGGTGCCATGTACAACAAAGAGAGAGGAGGAGAAACAAAGGCTTCTAATCAGAATACCTTTATAATCCCTAAGGAAATTATGTGAAAATTAGAGTAAGTTGTATTGGAGGCAGGACATTAAGGAAAGACCAAATGACTTCCATTAATTGGGTGGGCTTTTGTTTTACAGATTGAAACCAAGCATAAAAGGAAATAAAAAAATAACAACTATAATAACTCAGGTGTATCACAACGTCACTCGTTCGGGGCTAGATAGTTATGAACGTGAAGCTCCGCCCCGGTCCTACAGGGGGCGCTGCTGGTCTCGTTGTCACATTTCAAAGCTTAGATAAAAGCCTCCGCAGCTTCCTTTAGCACATTAAAAAAAGAGATAACGACAAAGGAGCGAAGGCAGAGCCGCATCTCGAAGGTAAAACCGCAGAAAAATCTTCCTGTTAGGGACCTGTTATTTATTCTGGCGTTTTTTAATCCGGATTTGTACTCAACACTGCTTCGTCTTCAGTATAAAAACCCCGCACAGCTCTGTAACTCGCGATCACGTGTAATATCAGCTTCCCTAGCTAGCTCAGCTAACAGGGTTAGCAAGGCGGCCCCGGCTGAGGAGAGGCCCGCTGGCGGTGATGACGGTTTTCAGCTGTTTATTTAACATTTTGGCAGGAAAACAATACAAAGTCAGTGGCATCGGTTAGTTATTAGTAACCTGTTAGAGGCTCTCTCCTCGGTCGTCGAGGGTAGCTGCTGTTAACGATCTTTAAAGGACTGAAAGTTGTGATGATTTGACGCCTTTACTTCTTTTATGAGTATATACACAGGGTCATAAGTGGTGCTTGATTAATGCGTGTTGTTCCCCTTAAGATCATATATTGGTCGGCGCCGTCCGGATTTCCAATTGTATTGATATCAAAGTCCTTCTACAAGCTAAACTCGCCACTTGTCAGCCATCTTAGTAACGCCCCCCAGGCAGTTATGTTTGAAGTGTTAAGTAAATCAAGTTTGGTTGTTGGTCCCCGGGACCATAAAATCTGTGTTGATGCGTTTGGAATCACTGTATAATTCAAGTCGTTTAAAATGTGTGAAAAGTTGTATCTGCAGTCGCATCCAGACACTGCTACAGCAAGTCACTTGAGAGATAATTTTTTAGTAGATGTATAATATATTTATAAATATGTTATAACGACTAACCTGCCTACATTTTCTTTGATTAGTCGACGATTATCAGTAACTCTTCTTACTACTGACCCCGTAGTACTGCAGTCACATCATCTAGTTGATCTTCTGAGGGTACCTGAGGTCACATAGTCTGGTTTCAAGCTTCGGTCAGTTCCTCTCGCATTCAGTGATCCTTCTTCTATCGCACTTGGGGTGATGATATCTCTCCCTTGTAGCACGTGTGTTGTACCTTGTCAATCTCTAGCTGTGAGAGCATAGGGGGGTCTAGCCTTAGGACTGGATACAGACGCCCTAGGTGGGAATCAAACATGCAACTCCCGCTCCAAAGGCGTGAAGACCATCCGACTCTGCTAGATCAAACACACCGTGGTGACCCCACAATAATAAAGGTCCGCTCAAGAAGAGATTGTGGCTGCTGGATCACTTTGACAATTAAAGAAGTCCGTAATCATATAATACAAATGTTTAATACTGAAAGGTTACATCTGGCACTTATACAGAACTTTATGAAAAAGTTGACAAAGTACATTTTTCCAAATGTATTCCAGCTATGCCACAAACATTTCAGTCAAGCTCCCTTCACCAGAGAGTAATTCAGTGTGTCAATAATCCAAATCAGTTTGATTTTAAACCTTTATTGTCTAAAGAAAAAAACTCTTAACATGTGGTTATCAGATCCCTGAAGATACTTAGTTTAATGCGAAAGAAATGCACGACTATAAGGTAGGTTCTTGTGCCGTTATAACTTGTTGCCGGTCGTTCCTGCAGGTTGAAGCTGAGGGCCATGGCTCGTGGGCAGCAGAAGATTCAGTCCCAGCAGAAGAACGCCAAGAAGGCAGCAGAGAAGAAGAAATCTCAGGGCGCTGACCAGAAGACTGCAGCCAAGGCCGCTCTGGTCCACACCTGCCCCGTCTGCCGGGTAAGAAACAGCCACAGCTTCTGCTTTCACCTTTGTTTTTAAAATGTTGATGCTTCATATTTTAAGATGTTAAAACAACCAGTCAGCAGCTGCATACGTCATGTGGCTGGGTTTGTGCATGTGAGAGACGAGGGAAACTCTTTAGAGCAGTGATTCTTTTTGTCTGTATGCAATAATTTCAGTAATTGTCATAGGTTCAAGTTAATTGCAGGGAGTTTCTCGTAATGGTCACGTAAATATCTCGGTTAAGTACAACCAGGGCCAGAGATGGAAAAGGTCAGAGGTCATTTAGCTGGGTTTTTAAAATGTAGCTTACGGAGTCTGAAGTGATTGAAAGTAGTTTGCATCCACTTTAGTAATTATTCAGCTGATGGCCACAGATTAGGTACGTTTGAACTTTCTTACCTCCTCAGGTTCATGTGCACAAATCCACTGTGTGGATTATTAAAGAGCAGGTGGATCAGTCCAGATGTTACACCGCTTTTTGTTTAAAGGATGTCATTTGACATCTTCCACTGTTAGGCTCACGTTCAGGTTGTAGCTACAAGCTGCGACAGTCTCAGACGTTAATGTGGAATAACTTGTTAGCAGGATTGATTTTACATGAATTTTAGACAAGATTTTTTTTGTACTGGAAGCTTTTTGGTTTCTGTTTGTTGTCTGAATAATGTTAACCAATCATGGGAAGGCTTTACCTGCAGGTAAATGGTCTATGTGGAAAGCAAGAGAAACACAGTGGCTGAAATTAACTGTAGAAATTTGTCAGTTTAGCTTTTTAAAATCTGCATCCTAGTTTGAACTGTAAACACTGAAACACAAGACAGGAAACCAGGCTTGAATATCTTTCTGCCATCAGCACTGGAAACCCCAAAACTTTGAATTTCCCCCAGAGGCTCAGTCAGATGATAGCTGATAGTTTCAAACATTGTTAAACTCACAGTGCTAGTTGGTGCATTTTCGGTTAAGTGTTCTTTAAGGGTTTTGCCCCCAGTCAGCAAACACAAAGTGGTCTGAAACATGTAAGAAAATAGTTTATCTGATAAAGATTTTCCTGGATCAGAATCTAAGTACGATAAGCTAACATACTTAGGTTAAGTAAGGCTGCTGTTGCCTTACTTAACCTGCTGTGCCAGGGGAAGTGAAGCCCTGTTAATGGTTGGAATGAGACCTTTTTGGTGTTTTGTTTCTCATGCTTTTACTGTCCTCCTTTCAGACACAGATGCCCGACCCCAAAACCTTCAAGCAGCACTTTGAGAGCAAACATCCCAAGTCCCCCATGCCTCCCGAGCTCGCGGATGTTCAGGCATAAAGGACTGCTGACTGGACCTGAACCTGAATCTGGGTGAGTAGTACCTGTAGTGTTTGAAAAAAACTCTCCAGGTTTCAAATTTAGACCAGAATTTGCTCTGCCAGGTTGCTTACTGGTCAGATTTGTGTTGTATGATGTTGGATGCACTACAAGTCCTCCTCGGACCGCAGCTGGCGTCGGTAGTCCTCATTTCTGCTTTGGAGACCGGCTGTGAGTTGACGGGACACTCCAGTTGGAACCGAAAGCAGATTGAGAACTTTCTTGATTCAGTTTAAATTAATATTGGAGTGAAACGACACAGCAAACACGAGGAAACTGTGTTTAAACTGTAAACATGACCCCACAAACTGTTGCTTACAGATACACAATGACTACGGATTAAACATCGACTCGCGGCACCTGAAGGACGTTGGCGACGAACGCTGGGACCTCTCACGGACATCGGGTTGGGGCGGATGTGTGTATGTGCTGTGTACGTACATGTTTGTGTAAGAGAAAACAGTAATGATGGGGCAGACGTACACCAGCAGCCCAATTTTATATTTATTGTGTACAACTACCTTGTTATTCCAGGTTGGGGAGGATGGGGAGGGGGGGAAGCAGAACCAGCAAGATTTATCTGTCTGCTTACACTGAATCAAAATTGTGACTAATGACGGGGATCTGGAAAAGCTTCAATAGGATGTAAAATAACATTTCTGAATGTGCGTCTACCTGACAGCCGGTTCTATTGAAACGGTGTCGTCCAATGAGGCGACGGCACATTCACTTCACTCTCACATGGACGTGGCTCTGCTGTCGGGTCAACTCTTCAGCTCTGATTTTTCTTTCTCTCCCCCAAAAATCCCAAAATTGGCTCCTTAAGACGACTAAACGTTTCCTTTAACTTCCTGTCTGTATGGTCGGACTCCACAGCTTTGCCTCCTCTATGTTGCTGCTGCTCCACAGGTGTCCACACTCGGTAACACCTTACAACAGTACCTCACGTGAACCACACAGCAAGTCTATAACGCACTCTTTTTCAAATCTCTTCCACTTGGACTTCTCAGTGTCATCCTTCTTGGCAATAACACCCCCCATCTTTGTCCCGCCTCAGTTAAAGCAGGAGTTGTTCTGTAAACCAAACGCGCAGCTCTGTGCTCGGTGATGCTTTCAGCTGTAGTTTGAAGAAGCTGTACGTAGCCCCAAAGGACTGAGAGAGAAATCATTTAGTTCAGAAACTGCAAAAGATAAAGAGTTAAGGATTTTCTTTTTGGGTCTTTAAATCACTAGCAAGCAAAAATAATTTGTTTTCACTGTAACTTTTTTTTTTTTTTTACCCTTTTCAATAAATTGAAAAATGTATTTAATGTGATCGGTCTGCTCAGATGCCTTTTATTCTGCATGAGAATCGTTTGTGTGTGTATTAGCTGGCCTGACTTGAACGTTACTCAGACTGTGACTATTAATGGTCTTTAACTCAGACTTACTACTTCAGGCTAACATAAAAAGAGGTTTAGTTAAAAGTTTGAGATGGATTTGCATGAAATTTTGTTTTAGAGGTGATGATTTCAAGACAATTTAGAAAATATCAAACTATTCTGGATCCACAGACTCAATGCAGGTGTGGAGCAGTCTTGGTCTGCTCCTGCTGAAATAAATAGTCTATTTAATTCTTAATATTAGCACATGAGTATGCAGATATTTATAGACAGAGTTCTGGTAATAGACGTGTTCTGGTTTGCATTATTAGTCTGAATAAATGTTAATTGGACAGTCATGTGATCGGTTAAGTGCTGCCTACGTCTGTCTATGGCTACAGCCCGCACTGGTGAGGCAGCGATGATGATATTAATTTAACCGCTCTCTTTACTGCTGTTTGTTTGTAATCGTAATTTTAAACACTCGGTTCATTTTTAGCACATCCTGATGAAGAAATCACTTTAATTTGTGATTTTATTTATTTTTTTGATTGAATATTGGTGACGATAACAGATTTGACTTTTCTTTATCTATTAGCTGTAATTCTAGCAAGATTTAACAGCTTTTTAAGCTTAATACGTTTAAGCATTTGCAGCACTAACTGAATACAGGTAAAATCTCATGGTTGTTGGTGAGAGACAGCTCAACAGTTTACTTATATACAACATGCCTTCAGCAAAAAATCTGTGTTATTCTTAAAGAATCGGAGAAACCGCAGAGCTCCAATTTGATTTTAGAGCAAACATAACGTGCTCCAGACCAGCTACATGTTCAGCGTAAGTCACAGTTGTGATTTAGCTTCACTAAAAGCAGCACTCACTGTTCCTCCACAGAGTTACCAGTCGTCACATTTTCACCATAAAATAATTTATGATCCCAAAGTTTGGAGCACCGATGTTCTCGGCTTTGGGAGTGGCTACTGCAAATACTCCAGTACACCCCACTGTTTCCACACTGGGTGGAATATTGCAGCTGTGTGCAGGACTTCTTATACATAAATGTGAAGGCACTTCCTCCGTGGAAAGCTCGTCTTTGCTGTCCTCCAGACGCATTTAGGTACTTGAGACATTCATCAGGCGTCAGGCTGATTTCCAGGTTTTAGGCAGGACGATAGAGACACTGGTAAAAAGCCCATCATCACATTTACTTTCACACCTGTTGAGACTTCAGATTGGACTCAGGTTACAACATGTTTGCATTTCACTTTAGTGGAATAACTAGGATTTGCTTAAAACTTGCAAAAATAAAATTCG